TCACGCACCCATGTAGTAAAATCCAACACTCATCTACCTTCCTTTTCAGGATCCTCAAAAAACACCGTTTCATGGTGTGGGCAACTTAGAATTGGCATCCTTCCTCATACTTGTAACAGCACATGAGACCATATTGGTCACGCGCGTCATTGATCCCATTTCTAGCCACCATTCATCCCCGTTAATGATAGCAATAAACAAATTGAAATTAACATTCACAGTACACAAAATGTACCGAATTCTTTTTATATAATTATGTTCAATTTATTAAGAGAATCAATCGTGTAGAACTTAAAAAATCATTACGTATCAATTTTAGTTAATAAAATTCTATAAATCACAATAGCCGATGAAAAAGTTGACTCCCGCATACTCAGATATTTGATTACAACGTTAGAAGATCAAATTAGTGGACACACCTATTTTTGACTACTCACATTCTTAAATTATGGAACTAGCAGAGATTAAACCTCAGACTGATCATAACTAGACAATCACTGGAAAGTAATAAGCACCAGATGGTTGTTCTCACCTTGTTTGAGACTACTCAAAAGTGTGCATCTACGGCTCCGTAATAGGGAATAAAACCCAGGACTTCTAAGTCTCATGACTGAAAGTGTAAACTCTAAAACACTGGGCTGACATCCTGTAATGCATAGTTCTAACGTCAATCAACTCACAATATTGTGATACTATCTTTTATTGTCTCCGTTTAGTAAACCCGTCAGACCTTTATCAGCTTGAATTCTACGGCTTCTCAACAAAACCTCAGTAATTGTTTGTTAAAGCTAATCACTAGTGAACATATGAATATAATTATCAGTACAACTGTTTTTTTTGTGTGAACATTTTACAGCTTTAATGATTTATATCTTACCTAATCAGTAATATACATAGATTAGAAGTTGCACACTACAACAAAACAACTATACAATGCTTATAGGTTTTTCGAATGTGATTTAGTCAATAAGATCAGTCGGTGATCTAAGATTGTACAAATTTCTACAATCTCCACAAAGGGATTACTTACTCACTTACACCTGTTACCCCTAATGAAGCATAGACCTACACTCTCATGGGCTTTCCTTCCTTTCATTCTTCTCATGTCTGTCTCCATTTCTCGGGGTGTAACGTGTTCCTTGGCCTTCCTCTTTTCCCTTGACCTTGAGGGTTCCATGTGAGGGATTGTCTTGTGATGCAGTTCGGTGCTTTTCTCACTGTATGTCCTATCCACTTCCACCGCTTCTTCCTGATTTCCTCCACCACTGGAATCTGGTTTGTTCTTCCTCACAGTAGGTCGTTGCTGATGGTGTCTGGCCAACGTATCCAATGTGTTTTAACATAGACGATTGTTATTAAACACTAGTTGAGTGTTTTCCGAAATGTGCATCGTATCCACTTCCACTTTGATACACGATTAAACAAAATTCTTTATATTAAAATGAACTATGATTTTGTGTTTGTTTAAAACTTTACCTTATTAATAAATAATTAGACGAAGAAATCTTTATAATAAATTAATTTTCTAATCAATAATTACTTTCTTTAAAAACTGCACAAATTTAAAATTACCCAGAATAAAAATTCTGATTATTTCATAAGAATCAAAAAAAATTATTTCTTCTTTTGGCCTTTTAACCTTTTTTGAATGAATATTTAATAAATCAATCAATGGAAAATGCTATGAAATAAATCTGTCCTTCAATTTCCGTATATGATGCTTAAGTGAACCCCGTTTATACGACGGCACTGGTAATAAGAAGCCAAATATGGATTCATTTGGATGAATTTATTTTTAGCACTGGTTCTTGCAGACCGACATGAGAATGAAAAGTACACAAGTAGAGAGAAGTGGTGTGGAGAAGGTGGGTCAGTCAACTTCTATGTAATGAAGCATGACTATTCATTTATATGACGGGGTTTTGAAGATTGTTAAGTTACACATTTTTGAAACTATGAATCGATCAAAATTAGATCACCTTTCGAAGAAACCTGGAAGCACTGGACGGCCGTTTCGTCCTGGTTTGGGACTCATCAGTGGCAGTGCGCATCCACGTGACCAGTGAAGTTCAACCTGTTCGCGTGTAGACAGTAACTACTGAAGACTGTGTATGAGGTTGCGCAGCTCCGTGAATTTGATCAAGTTAGACATTAACACCGTTAGATACCGGCTCAGTGGTCCGATGGTTAGGCGTTCGCGCACAATACCGAAGGTCCTGGGTTCGAATCGCGCGGAGTGCAGGTGTCGTGGATGCGCACTTCTGGTGAGTCCCATACCAGGACGAAACGGCCGTCCAGTGCTTCTTCCAGGTTTCTAATGGTGGTCTAACTTTGATCGATTCATGGTTTCAGAAATATTCATTTATAGTCAGACGAAATTAAGCTACACATGTACTAAGCGTAGCAAGCAATGCGCATACTCAAGAAAAAATAACCAAGCTTCTAAAGTGAATCATAGACAGGGTCGAAAGACATGTGAATAGTAATTCAGGTAGAATGGATTAATTAAGTTCTTCAAAGACTTGAACAAGTCCTGTTGCCTCAACGTATTAGCATTCAAATATGCCTCATCCAGTTTCATTATAGTCGAAAAATACTTTGACATTAAATTTTTATAGATATGAATGGATTAATCGCTTTCTTTTTCAGATGGTCGAGGAAATTTGTAACTCGGATGAATTATTGTAGTGGAGTTTCACTCTCTGAACTGAATGTCTTGGTTGTGCGACTTTCACTGTTCTTCTTCTAAACAACTTCATGTAGAGAAGTGAAGGATTCGAATTTCGTTTTTGCGTAAAACGTGTCGCTTGTCCTACTAGACAAACATAGGATCCAAAAAACAAATCAAATGGGAGAGACAATGAAAATGAACGTGCAGACAACGACAGCTTTAAGGTCAACAATAACCAACCACTATCGAGTTTAACAGAACCAAATACGGGTCATACGTCGAAAAATTCGAATGCTTCATTTCCCTAGCTGAAGAAGTTTGTGCTGATGATCATGTTGTATTCCGTAGAGCAATGAAAGTCGCACAATAAAAACATTCAGCTGTCTTTTGCCGACTATCACTCTGGTAGATTTTCTTAAATACCAGAAGTTGTTTCCTGAGCT